ATGTAGTTGTACCTAATTATTACTTAGTATTTCATTTTTTTTGTAAACTTTTTTTAAATTTTGTATTTTGTATGTATTTATCTGATAAATAGAAAAAAAACTAAACCGAAATCTTTTTTCGTCATTGTTTTATCGTTAAAATACCTAAAATTTTCTATTCTCAAATATGAGTGCGTCTAAATTTATGAAAACCACTGTATATATATATATATATATATATATATATATATATATATATATATATATATATATATATATATATATATATATATATATATATATAGAAAATATATATATTTTCTATATATATATATATATATTTTCTATATATATAAATATATATATATGTATATATATATATATATATATATATATATATATATATATATATATATATATATATATATATATATATATATATATATATATATATAGAAAATATATATATTTTCTATATATATATATATATATATATATATTTTTTCTATATATATATATATATATATATATATATATATATATATATATATATATATATATATATATATATATATATATATATATATATATATATATATATATATATATATATATATATATATATATATATATATATATATAATATATATAGAAAATAAAGGAAAACAAGTTCTGGATTTTTTTCAGATATTTTATTTAAACAATATTCCGGATTTTTAAAATATGACTAGGATGATCTATGTAACAAACAAAAAATATTACTTGTTGCAAAGAAAAAAACTCAAGTTAGTTGCTTTACCAGCGCTTTTTTTTTGTGACAAAGATTTGAGTTTCTAAGTATCATTTATTAAAAAATATATACCGTTGCGCTTTCACATGCCTTATGGCAAAAAAGTTAAACATACGCTTTATGAATATTTTTGATACAGTGTTATGAGTTATAACATGTTTACATGGAGTTAAATTTTTTATAAAAAATAAAAAAAGAAGAAAAACTAATTTTTTTCTGCTTATCATTATCACAATATTCTAGATCTTCCTATATTTATGAATGGTAATGTACTTGACCAGTCATTTACTCTTCATCTTCTAAGATTAACTCAGGATTCTATTGTTCATTTTTATAAATCTTAAAATTATAAACATAGTTGGACCTGTTCTTGCAGCCAACCTTTAACCACTATCATATTGTTGTAATGTTGCTTCTCTTTCTTTTTTCTATAAATACTATAATGGGCACTGCTCTAAAGAATTAGTGTCTCTTGTGCCATCTACTAAAATTCATTCTTGTGTCCTTCATAGTGGTTGCTTGCAGCCTTGTTTGAATTTTATATATATATATATATATTTATATATATATATTATATATATATATATATATATATATATATATATATATATATATATATATATATATATATATATATATATATATAGGCTTGTTCAGGAAGGCGTGTGGTTTTACAGCTTTATACGACCATGCAAATAATATTTTGTTTTGATGATTTGACCACGGTTTTAACATTTTTATAAAGCGCTGAAAAAACTTCTTTACTTAGTTAATAAAGAAACTAAAAAAAAAAAACTTATCTAAAAAATGAAAAAAAATATTGAAAAATATTGAAAAATAAAATAAAAATAGCTAGCAAAAATTTAAAAAACAAAACTTAACTAAAATAAATTATAAACAAAAAGATTATTCAAATTAAGTTTGAAATAAATTACTTTAAATCTTATATTAATGTTTTTATAATGTAAAACTAGTAGTGTCCTGTCTGCTTAGTTACTGCACTATATAAAATTACATTATTAGTAAAAAAATTAAAAAAAAATATTACTAATCAACAAAAAAGTAAATAAACACTTTTGTTTTTATAAAAAACATCATCGGGCACTAGTGGTATTTTTTTAAAAAAAACTGGTTAAACTTAATGAGGAAACTTTTTTTATTTTAATTTTTTTATTTAAAGATGAAAGAAAAAAAAAATTATTATGAAAAATTTTATATTTATATATTTTTTTTCTTACATTCTTGCATAAAAAAAATTTATATTTCGAGTATATTAACTTTAATCGATAATTATTTTAATATTAAGACTATAGTAAAATGCATCCACACTTCATCAGCAGTGAATTATTATTTTATTTAAAAGTGTTTTAATAATATAAAAGCATTAGTAAAGATCAAATTTATTTAATTCAAATGGCTGTTTTTAATTCAAAAGTTTGTCTTTTTTTCTTTTCAACTAAATCTTTTCAAATTTATTAACTTTAATGATTCTTTAATAAAGTTTATTAAAGAGACAATTGTTGTTTAAAGTTGTCAAAATTTTACAAAGATCTATAAAAGTTTCTATTGCTTATAAAAAATGTTTTATATTTTCTTATTGTAATTGAGTTCAGGCATTTAAAGAATTATTACAACAATTACAAATTCCACAATGAAAGTGAATACTATATTAAAATAAATAATGTATAAAATATATAATTAATTACATAAAATAAAAATTATTATGCAGTAATTTAAGTGTAATTTTATATTTATCAGTTAGTCCAATCTTATCAAAAACATGTGCATTTGAATCGGCACTAAATTTATTTTTTTTTATTATTTTTTTTTTTTGCAAAAAAGTACCTCCTTCTTTTTTAAAAGGCCTTTTTCAAAAATTGACAATTGTGCTCCCCTACCCAACAAAGATATATATATATATATATCTTTGTTGTATCAATATTTTTTTATATATTTCAGTATTTTTTGTTTTATTATTGCACATTTTTTTAGTAACCATTACTAATTAGTCTAGGACAAAAAACTGTTATAAAAATTTAAATATTTATTTCAATTAAAAAAATACAAGTAATAAATTCATATTTATCGACAATTCACATTTAAAATACTTCATTTAATATGGTCCAACTACCTTGTACATATCTCTAATAAGGCACTTTGAAAAGTTTTTACTTATACTTTTGGTTGTCAAATGTTTAAATCTAATGTTAGATGTCTAAATCTAATTTTTTAAATCTAAAACAATATTGCAAAAAAAAAAAAAAAAAAAAATATTTTAATACTTATAACCGACTCTCTTTAATAAGGTACCAAAGTGGTGGAATTTTTAAACTATCTGCTAGGAAATATTTTTCTATGTAAATTGGTGCATAGAAAATGCATGAAGAAAATTTGCTAGATAGATTTAAAAATTCGCAGAACACTCATTCAACAAGAATTTACATGAGAACATCAACAAAATTTTAATGAGCAAATAAATCAATAAAAATGTTTAGTAACCATCCATATAAATCATATAAAAAAACAAGATTTTTTCTTCTTTGCTAAAATAATCTGTTTATTTATGTTTGTAATAAGAAACACTACAATAATACATTTACCTAGTGCTACTTTTTAAAAATGTCAAAAAAAATGTGGCACAGAATTTTAGCATAAAGTTCAGTTTGCAGATTTTGATTTCCCTGTACCTAACCATATGGTTCTACAATGTGACTCTAGTGATAAATGGATCTATATTAAGTGTAACATGATTGATGATAAAATCTATAACTTCTTATAAACAGAAAGTTTGTGTTTCTAAAAGTTGTTTGCAAAGCAAACAACTTTTAGCAAACAACTTCCAGGTTACTCTAAATGCTATAAATGGTTCTTCATATAATTTTGTAAATGAAACACAAACAAATTTGAAATTTCTCTATACAAATTTTAAAAAGCTAAAAAATAAAGTGAAAATAGAAATACAAGGTGAGTTCTCATTTCTAAATGCAAAAGATAAAAGAGCTGGAGTCAACTTTGATAAAAACTAAAAAAAAATGCAATATTTATGATGCATTTACTGCCATCACTGTATATGTATTGCTTAATTTAATAGTATCTACCTGCAGTCACTAATCGAAAAATTGTCCATTAGAACTAATGATGTAATTATTCTTAAAAACTTTAACATTAATCTCATTCAAGTTATGAATCTTCTAATGATTTTTTTTGATTTTATAATTTCTGTTTATTCTTTCTTACTCTCTTTTTTTCATTTTATTGCCTAACCTACAATCAAAATTAGATTTCTGCATCAATCAAATAGCTTAGATTTTTTTTGCAAGAAACATTGCATAAACCATGTCTGTATTAATATAAAAATATGGTTTTTTTCTTGATCGAAAAAATTTGTTGCCATGCATTTGTCACAGACAAAAGGCTGGCATTTGCAACAATGACAAAAAAAAAATAAATTGAACCTAAATAAAAAATCACCAAACAAAACAGACAATAGACTAAATTCATTTTTTTAAATTAATAATAGACTTAACCTCTGCTTTTGAGGTTATGCGAAGTTTTCCATTCCTATTTTGTTTTTTTGTTTTTTTTATTTTTTTTGATGATTTCACCTCTCCAAGGCCAATATGGCAGTAATCAAAAAGCTCAGTTAAAAATCTAGCTTTTTTAGCAACCTTAGCTCTGGCTAAAAAATACTATTAACAGTGTTAACATTGCACATCTAAAAAAATTAATTTGATAAATTAAAAAAATTAACTTCATAAACATAATATAAATCAATCATTAATGAGTTAGCATATAGATGTTTGCACATCATTTTAATGTCAGGTTATATAGTTTAAATCTTTACTGACTTAAATATTAGCCTTGTTGATTATATATATATATATATATATATATATATATATATATATATATATATATATATATATATATATATATATATATATATATATACACATATATATATATATATATATATATATATATATATATACATATATATATATATATATATATATATATATATATATACACATATATATATATATATATATATATATATATATATATATATATATATATATATATATATATATATATATATATATATATATATATATATATATATGTGGATTACTATCTTTTAAAACTTTAAATGTGGACCATAAAAATGGGACCATTTAAAAACCTTAGTCAAAACTTTGAGACACTGCATTTAAGAATTTTATTTCAGATGGGAAAAATAAAAGATTTGAAGATTCAACTTGATCAAAATACACCGTATTTTGCTGGAGATCTTATTGTGGGTCAAGTTACATTTAACCTAATAAAATGTTTGTCAATCACTCGTATTTTACTTTCGTTTGAAGGTAAGTTTTTTTATTCAATTATTTCTACTAAACATAATTTTATTTCAAGTTTTAGAATCTCAATAGCTCTTTAAAATTAAATTAATCAGTTTAATTTGATATCTTAAATATTTCTATCATCCCCTTGTAATGTAGGTAAACCATTTTAAGGTTCCATACACAGGTTTCAAAGTAGTGGGGCAGGGGGGCACAATTGTCAATTTTTGAAAAAGGCCTTTTAAAAAAGAAGGAGGTACTCTAGAAAAAAAGTTAAAGCGTCTATGTCCCCCTGATCCCTTGGTGATGTTGCCATGCTTTTAAATGAGAAACTTGCTTGGCCTGCCGATTTTGGTCAAATAGAATGTTTGTTAAACAAATTTTTGTTGCAATATGTTATTTTCAAATTAATTTAAATAAGCAACAAAGGCTTTTTAGGGGCAGAGTGAGATTCGTTCACTGCATGAGGGCAGCAAGTAAATTTAATCAGCACATTTGAATATCTGTTATACTAGGTATTTAAACAAACAAAAATATTTAAATAATTTTTTTTTTTTTTTAATTTACAAATACCAAATTTATGTAAATTTTGGATTTTTGAATTAAAAATAATAAATAATTTTTGTATTTATAAATATTATTTTTTTGAATTAAACTTTTGCATTTGTAATAATATAATAAAATAAAATAGAAAAATAGTTCATTTTATAAAAATAAACAATATTTTTCTATTTATAAAAAAATATTGTTTATTTTTATAAAATAAACAATATTTATAAGTTTTTATAAAAATATGTTTATTTTATAAAAATTTATGTATATTTATTTAACTTCTTTTATGCAAATATAACATAAATAATGCATTTATGTTGAACAACATGTTTTGAATTAGTAGATAGTTATTTAAAGTTCATTTTTTAAAATCATTTATTAAGAACCATATAAAAACAGAGGCTTAAAAATAAATGTAGAATGCTTTAATTCAAATGATAGATATAGATCCAGTTTACTAAAAGGGGATTTTTTCATATTTGGTTTTGGCTTATGAAGCATATAATCTAAAAATACCTAATATTATATGTAAATGTAATAATGTCACAATAACTCCATGAGTTTTATTCTTTATTGTTGTTTTTGGTATTGCTTACCGCTAATAAGCATGAGAAATACTGAAGTAATATTTTTTAGGAATATAAATTTAATTATAATTTTTTTTAGCAAACAGATAAATTTCTAATTGGTTACAAGAAAAAATCTACTAGTAGTCAAGATGCTGTTGTTGATTCAAGCAAAGGCAGTGAACAAGTGGGTAAAAATGCCAAGATAAGAAAATATAATTTATCCTATTTATTGTTTAGATTTATAAGCATTATTATAGATGCTGTGAAAAGATCTGTGTTTGTTTTGTACAAAAGCTTTGGCTGCAGATAGTATGAGACCTGGTACATACAACAATATCTTATGAGCATGAGTTCTGTATATATTAGTAAACAAATAGAATTTTTCCAAATAAGATTAGATGAGTAAAATAAACAAAAAAAAAAGCATTCAAAGCAGCAATTGATATGGTTAAAATATTGTTTGGCGAGTCATATACGAAATAGTTGCAGCAACTTGCTGATAATACATTTGCTAGAAAAATCAATCAAATTGCGGTAGTGGTGTAGTGGTAGAATCCTTTGCCTCATAAGTGAGAAGTTCTGAGTTTTATCCCCATCACGTCCTCGGTAGTACAGTGCTCAACTTTTTTCTCAGTGTAGCAACCTTGTTTGTCAAGGTTCGTGTTTTAGAGTTATAGAGTTGAGCAAGGGTTGTAGCCCCAACTAAAGTAGCCTCCTTGACTTTAATCAAGGAGGCTACTTTAGTTGTGGTTATATAATATAAGGAAGAATGAGAATGATATTAAGTCAAATGATAATAAATTCCACATATTAGTTATCAGTGAAACCTGACTGACACGACTATTCCTGATGGTTTAGTCAAATTGAGTGACTACTCTCTGCTGAGAAAGAATAAAAATAAATACAGTGGACGACTGGCAATCTATTTTGGGCTATCTTCAAGTTTTGTTAATTGGAAGTGAAAGTTCCTAATTTTTTGAAAACTGGTATTCTTGCAGTCAGATTTTCAGCCTTAAATGCCCTTAACATTGTTGTTTGCAGTTAAAAATGCATTTAAATTGTTTAACACTGTTTTAACATAGATTAAATTGTATTTATTTCACCATTCTCAAAAGATCATTGTTTCCATGGTCTCTGACTTTAGTCCCCACTAGAGGAGTTGTACAAGGGTCTGTCTTTGGACCATTTCTTTTCGCTGTGGTAGTCAACGGTATATTGGACCTTGACTACCATGGCTTAAATGAACTTAATTGGAACACTGGTTTCAAAAAGATTTATCAGAAATGTTGCATTGGAGTGTCTGCTTTCCATTTCCTGGCATCATTTGGTATCCTTCCTGATTTAATATGCAAAACTTATATTCCCCTAGTCTCTTCACAAATGACTTACGCTTGGCCCATGTTTTGTGATATCTCTAGCTCTCAACTCATGAAACTTTCAGCCATAGAGAAACGTGCAGCAATCATATATCAAGCACCCATGTTCAAATCAACCCTCAAAGCATCTTGAAGGCATCTGTCTCAGATAACCCAAAAAAGTTGCCATTTTGAATGATTACTCTCTTCGAGCATTTTTAGGCCTATAGTGTGAATTCTCAGGAATTAGCGTTAGCTGCAACTTTTGCACTAAAAATCAAGTCAATTAATAAAGTCTTTTGTCGGTTTTTGTAAATTCTCATAAATACCAAGATATTGTATTTATTTATAAAGGAAATAATAATAATAACTGCTGTGGAATTGGTGCTGTGGAATTTGTACTGTGGAATTTGCTCAGTAAATATCAGGGTTCATGAAAGGTCTTCAAGCATTAGTAAAATCAATAGGATCTTGCTATTGAATGCTATTATTAAAGTACTATTAGTAAAATCAATAACTCCAATAGCTATTTGGATGCACTGCATGCTTCACAAAGTCGCTCTTGAATCGAAAAATATGAGTAAATAAATTAATAACATTTTTACAATAATTACCAAAGTTATAAGTCACATAAAAAATAGCTCTTGAAAAGTTTGAATGTTTGCAAAGTTGTGTGAAATTATGAAAGCACGGTATACCTTACTTTTAAACTATTGTGAAGCGCGCTAGCTATCTTGTGCAAAAGGAATTAAAAAGATGTTTAAACTCAGAGAAAAGATCTAGATTTTTTTTTGAAGAAAATTATATTGAAGAAGCAAATTTGTTTGTGAATGATGAATTTATTGTTAAGCAAGCCTATTTTTTAATTTATGTATTCAAATATATTTGAATTATTGAGTTTATTTAATAAGGCAATGCAAAAAACCACAACTAATAAATGTTTGAATGACGATTATGTAAATAAGTTTGTTACCAAAGTTTGAATGACAATTAGGTTCAATATAAGCGCTATTTACAAATGAAGTAAATTCAGATTCAAAGAATTCAAAATTAAAAGCAAATAAAATTTAATTTCTATTTCAATCTTATTTTAAAATAGTTATTTTAAATATTGTTTAACAATAAAATTTTATTTTTTCTTAAAAAAGAAATAAGCCTATTTTTACTGCTTTTTTTTTTTCAATTTTTTTTTTTTACTAAAAATTAAATTCCTTGTAAATGTGTTTTAAGACTTTACATTAAACTTTTTTAAAGTAAATTCAATTTTTTACCATAAGCCGGTAAAAGTGAAAATATATATATTTTTTAATAAATGGTACTGCTGTGGGATTGGTACTGGGAAACCTCAAATAATCTTTGCTTTCACAACTAAATCACTGGTTAAGTAATACATTATTTTTGCAATAAGTTATATTTTTTATTTGTTACTCACTAACTTTTTAAAATTATTAGTTGCAAAGCAACTAATAATTTTAAAAACAATTACAAATTTAAGAAATAATAATAAAAAGAGTTTAGCATAATTTAATTCATTTATATGAATGTCATGAAAAGATTAAGGAAAGTTAAATATTTTTAAAAATGTAATATTTAGTTGAGTTATTTAATATAAAAATATATATATGTTCCATTATGTAGTTATTTTTTAAATTGAACTTGTTTGGTAGTAATTTATTATATTGCAGTAGTTTAAACAAATGTTTAAAAAAAAAAAAAAAATTATGATGTCAAATTGACACTAAGCTAATGCGTTAAAAATTTTTTATTTCAAACAAGGCCTACTATCAGTAAAACATTTTTTTTTTTTTTGTCGATTAAGTTTTTTCTCTTTATGTACCACTAAATTATTTAACCATGTTTATTTTAAAAACTACTGCTATAGCATATTTAAATATATGTTTACCCACTTTTTTTGGCAACCTAAATCTTTATGTTTTTGCAAACAAAAGAAAAAAAAAACAAAGATCGCAAACAGAAGAGAAAAAAAAGAGTGATAAAAAAAAAAACTTATCACTGCCCTAATCTTGTGTGTTCTCCATTGTCTGTAAATGTATGTACCTAAGCCCCCACAACTGTCTTTTTTAGTATGATGTCAGATTGCTGATCTAAATGTGCTTTATAGTTGTATATACACAAATATTTTCATCACTGTGTTAAAAGTTGTATATACACAGATATTTTCATCACTGTGTTAAAAGATCATCATACTATTTAAATGGTTGTGTTATAAAAAACATAGTAAGCTTTTACTCATGCACAAATTATTTTCTATTTAACGAATAAATGAGTGATGTTTTGTATAGGTATTGGCAAATGCAAAAATGGTGCACATTGCAAAGAAAATATTCACAGCTGTAAAATTACATTATTTAATAGTGAACAAAGTCATCAGATTGGCTTTTATAAATATCCATTCAATATACAGCTACCTGAAAAACTTCCAACATCAGTAAAAATGGATAATGCAAGTATATCCTATAAAATTTTGGGTGAGTTCTTAATGATAAGTTTATTTAAAAAATGAATTGCATATATATTTTATTTTATTAAATATATTTGCAATTTTAGTTTATTTTTACTGTTGATAAAAGAAATTGGAAAAATCAGGGAAGCGAAGTCTCAAAAAAGACTCCGGGTTTGAAAGTCACAAAAAGATTACTTTATCCTAGTTTTTAGTGTCCAGGAGCTCTAAAAATTAAAAAAACTAAAACTTTTAGGTTAGAGGAACAATCGTTTTTTGAACCCGGAGTCCTTAGGTATAATGGTGGCAAGGACTCTATGACTCCAGGACTCCGGGCTTAAAAACAATAAGTTTCAAGTCATTAAATCCATGAATTTTTTTCTTAGAGCAGATCCTAAGTCAACAAACATGTTTAGAGTGTCTAGACATTACAGACTTGGAAAAAGTAGAGATATAAAGCCGGATTCCTTTTGGGACTCCGCATCCCTGATATATATCAGTCTTTTCCATTTAGCCAGCGCTTTCGCTGAAGTCTTTTCGCGCAAAAACTTTGGTGAGGCATAAAAATGTGCTTGCCAAAAAAATAAAAACTTAAAAATGACCATCCTGTCAGCGCTTTTTTATGCGCTGGCATTAAATTTCAAATGGAAAAGACTATATATATATATATATAAATATATATATATATATATATATATATATATATATATATATATATATATATATATATATATATATATATTATATATATATATATATATTTATATATATATATATATATATATTAGAGTGCCACTAAAAACAACTTTTTTTGAAATTGTCTGCTGCCACCCCCTAAATGTGTTTTATGTAATAAATTAACACTAAATTAAAAAAAAATTTTAATAGAAAAAAATTTTAGGGGTTGCTCAAGACCCTTAAACATCAAACAAGTTCCTAACATTTTGAAAAAAAAGTTTTTTAAAAGTATATCATGTTGGGTCTCAAAAGAAGTGAAATTTATAAAAAATTCAAAAATAACAATCATTTTATATAAATATTAACTAGTTTAAATTTTATGGCCTAAAAACTATAATTTTTTGACAAAAAATTAAAAGGACATAATTTTAAAGTTTTTTTTAAATAAACTTTTTTAATTTGTGTTCATAAATTGTTTTTATTATTTTTGAAATTTTCAAAAAATTTAACTTCTTTTGAGACCCAACATGATATACTTTTGAAGAACTTTTTTTTTCAAAATATTAGGGATCCGATTGATGTTTAAGAGTGTTGAGCGACCCCTAAAATTTTTTTTCAATTTAGTGTTAATTTATTACATAGAGCACATGGGTGGCAGCAGATAATTTCAAAAATAGTTGTTTTTAGTGGCACTCTAATATATATATATATATATATATATATATATATATATATATATATATATATATATATATATATATATATATATATATATATATATATATATATATATATATATATATATATATATATATATATATATATATATATATATATATATATATATATTATATATATATATATATATATATATTTATATATATATATATATATATATTTATATATATATATATATATATATATATATATATATATATATATATATATATATATTTATGTATATTTATATAAATATATATATATATATATATATATATATATATATATATATATATATGTATATATATATATATATATAAGAATAATTTAAGAAAGGAGTTATAAATAATTTATAACCCAAGTCATTTAACTTGATGTTTCACTGTATGTATATCATCAGACTTTTGATTCGACACTGCACAGTGTATTGCTTTATTCAAGCTAGGTGGACAAAAGTTCAAGAAATAGACTAATTAATAAAATTTTCACTGTTACAGCATCGCCTTGGTAGCAACTTGAGGTATTAATTATGAAAAACATTCTAAAGCGATGAATTATAAACAATTAAAGTGCCTTTAAAATTTTAATAAAATTTAATTATTTCATTTTGAAAAAATTCAGTTTAAAAAATAGTTTAAATTAATTTTTCAACTTTGTTGAATGTATTCAAGCAGTTTTTTAGTAGTGTATAGCTAATGTCTTTTAGGTGAACAATGATGTATTATTTATCTCCACATTATTCCTCAATTTTTAGTAATTTGATTTTTTGGAGTTATTTGAAGAATGGCAGAAGCGTAAACAAGAATAAAGAAGTTCTTGTTTATTGGATTTTATTTTGCAAAGAGTTTTTGTTACTGACGTAGCTAATGTAATTTGTGATTCAGAGGTCTTTGCACTTGAAATTTTTGTACAAAATTCTTAATAAAATAGTCTGCTGCACATATGATGATGGACCATTTTTTTAAACAAAATAAAAGTTTGTTAAAAGCAATGATAAAATTTAAAATAAGTATGCATCAATGTCCTTTTTCTCATCTAGAGGAATTTAGACACAGTCAAAAAAAATTTTGAAGATTCATATTTTAAATCCAAAAAATGAAAATTTGAAGACTTATTAAAATCATTAAGTGCCACTGAGTTGACCACACCTGATAAATTAGCATTTCATTTTTTAAAGCACAGAAACCAAGCTACTTAATTCAGAAAAAGTTGTGAATCATCAGAAAAAATAAGATCAGGAGACTATTTGTGGTGGCAGGTAGTTGAGTCATGACTTACTTAATAACATAACTTTTTTGACTTGTATAGACATTAGCTTGTTGCATTGACTCTAAATGTAATAGTTATTTTTATAAACAGCTGCAAAGGCAGTACATCTATTTCTCTCAGACTGTAGTCTATACAAGTCAAAGAAGTTATGTTATTAAGTAAACATATTGCTGTTACAGAAACATGAATCAAAATTAATCTACGAGCCATACTTGATAAAATTAATCTACGAGCCATACTTGATAAAATTAATCTACGAGCCATACTTGATAAAATTTATCAACGAGCCATACTTGATAAAATTTATCTACGAGCCATACTTGAAAAAATTTATCTATGAGCCATACTTGATAAAATTACTGAACGCCTATTAGTAAAGTGCTTAAAATTTTTATATTATTAGCAAATAAGGATGTGATGGAAACTCCAGACACAGCATTTATAAACAAATATTTACAAACTCTGATGCTACTTATGAGTTTCTGTTTATACTTTCATTTGTTCCATTGAAAATGAGTGGATCTAAGTTAGAGGGGGCCTAAATATTATTTTGCAAAATCCACTGGCATCTTCCACACTTTGTTGCAGACTAATTATTTTTATTTAAAAGAAACAGATGTATTTACTGCAACAGAAACTAACCAAGTTTTAAAAAAGTCTTAACTTTTTCCAACATCTATAAGACTCATTGAATCTCAAATTACTGTTAAACATGACCTTATACTCTCAATTATAGATGGAAAAGTGTGCAATCCCTTTACTAATATAAGTTCTCAACAAAAATGCTACATGTGTTGGGATTCCTTTTGTAGTAAATGATGAATTTAAAGAATTTGAAAAACTTATTTTTGAAACCAAGCTCTTTATTCAAATTTGTATGACATATAGATTAGAAAAAAGAGGCTGGAAACTAATATATAGTTTTACATATTATGTGATACTATATGTCTGTTACTGTGCTCAAAAGACTTATGATAATTATCAAGAATATAATATTTGTTTATTTTACATTATCCTATATATTTTAGTTATATAGATTATATTTTTTAATTTTTATTTTTTATGCGTTGAAATTAAGTATTTTTATTACTAAAATTTTTAAAGACTGAAATTCCCTAAAGCATAAAAATAATCAAAACATGCATATCAATAAAACACCAAAATAATTTTACGTTTTTAGCTTTTGAATCACAGAACAACATATTTTGTGCACCTAGCTTACGGGCAATTCACTATATAAATTGATAACTTTACGCTTTTGATACATAACACTGAATAACATTTTGATTTTAAACTGAATTTGAATATCAGAATCTTGATTTTATATTTGAATTTATAACATCAGAATCTTGATTTTATATTTGAATTTATAACATCAGAATCTTGATTTTGTATTTGAATTTATAACATCAGAATCTTGATTTTATATTTAAATTTATAACATCAGAATCTTGATTTTAAAAAATCATTTTAGACTTATGATTTAACATTTGAACTCAAATTTTTTTTTCGAACATTACAATAAATTTTACAAAAGTTTTGGAAACATTTTTTTTTTCCAAAAAGGTAAAGAATAAAGTTATTTTGGGCTAGTGAACACTGTAAAAAATGTTTTTGGATTAAAATTGTCTGTTTCTCTGACTATTTCTGCATAGTTTAAATGCTTTAGTATCATTGCAATGAATTTATAAATGTTTCAGCATCATTGCAACGAATTTTTAATGATATGACGCAAAAACTAAAAAACATTTTTAACACTATTTTTAGGCATTTAAAAATATTTAAAAAAAGGTTTTGCAGTATGCTTTTGAGTTTGTTTTTTTCTGATGTAATATATATATATATATATATATATATATATATATATATATATATATATATATATATATATATATATATATATATATATATATATATATATATATATATATATTATATATATATATATATATATATATATATATATATATATATATATATATATATATATATATATATATATATATATATATATATATATATATGTATATATATATATATATATATATATATGTATATATATATATATATATGTATAAATATATATATATATATATATATATATATATATATATATATATATATATATATATATATATATATATATATATATATATATATATATTCTTGTAAATCAAGTATTTTAGACTGCAGTTCTCTGTTTTATTAGCTAAAATTAAGTGCAAAGGTTCTTCAAATAAATCTTTGAAGAGTCGAATACTGATCACTGAAGTCATAGACGCAAACATATGTAATACACCTTCTGTTACAATTTTGCGCAAGACACCATCTTTATTCTCTAACAAGCAGAAGTTAAGCAGTAAAGGTAACTAACAAATTTTTGTATCCAGCTTCATGCAGCTATTGTTATTATAGTTAGGAAACTTGAGTGCTGTCATTATTATCATTATAAACAACTTCATTGATGTTATTGTTATCATTATTATGAGCAATTAATATCAATTTTTGTTATAAGAAACTTTTGCTAGTATTATATTGCTATTATTTTTTTTATAAGTAACCTCGGCATTATTATCAGGAAATGTTTTATTTGTTTAAATATTTGTTACAATAGAGTTATTAGTCTGTCTTAAAAGAAGCGTTTATTGTGCAGAAGAGCAGATTGTATTAAACATTCAGTATAAAGATCGAAGCCCTCGATATATGGGTAATATTAAAGCAGTATTAAATAGATATGTCTTATTTAATCCGAAAGAAAATAAATATCGTTTTTCTGTGAAAAAAAAAATCAAAGAAGTATCAGGTATTTTTTATTTTGTTTTACTTTTTACGTCATCTTCGAGATGACTTTACTTTTTTTTTTTTTTAATTTGAAACGCGTACCCTGATGTACAAGGTAGCTTCTCGAAGACCAAAAAGCAAGTTTAGCTGGTACTGTCAGGAATGTGATAGGGATTGAATTCTATACTTTTCGCTTTCAAAACTCTACCACTACCACTAAACCACTTTTTTCCTACTTTAGGTGTTAAGTTCTGCAGCCTTTACTTATTTTTGAATGAAATTCTTTTTTTTTTAAAGACAGCATACCAGATAAGACCACTGAAAGATCACTTTTGATACCAGTTCCTAAATCAGTAATGCCGTCAAATTGTCTTGCTAATGCTGTCCAAGTTAAGTATGTTTTACATGTTAAAATAGTTGGTTATCCTGAACATAAAATACCGGTAGTTATTGGGACCAAAGCAAAAACCATCTCTACTTCTTATGAAGAAATTTTCAGAAGTATTGATATCAATGAATATCCTCCAGGTAAAATTTTTGTATCAAAGTTCTTTATAAATTACAATTATTAATGAGATAGAGGGAATTTTTAAATAAAATAAATTTTTATAAGGTAAAAGATTTCTATTGGTAAAAACAGCATAAGGAAACAAATTTTACATTGATATGTTTTTGTGGTTTCTACAGGGCTCTACTAATGCGGGTTGTATTATTAAATTTTGTGTACCTTAAATGTTTTTATTTTTTATGTCGGCGCAAAGGAGATTAAATATAAATTTTAATTAAATTGTTCTCAGCAAAAACTTCAAAATATTAGCTTGTCAAACGAAAGTCAAATCACTAAATTTGAAAAAATGATTGGTTTTTACATTTAAAACTTTAAAAACGTGGTACGCTGAAGGAACCGCAATAACTAGGAAACCTCGTAAACAGATGTAACTTTTTTTAAAAGCTATTTAATACATGAAATATATTAAAAAAAAATATTGGATTTTACATTCAACTTACTATATCAGTTTATTCCTTGATATAGGTTATGGAAATACAGTTATGCCTACTGCTCCGTCTTATATTGATGATAGCTTTGATCAGTTTGAACAGTGTGATAGACCACTAAGTACAATGTTTCTTTATCCCCCAGAATATGTTCCGCAGAATGAGTTTAACATCCCGCCATCATATAACGAAACCGTCAGTGTGATAAGTTCTTCATCAAATGAAAATATTTAAAATGGATTTTAATACAAGACTTATTTAATTTATTTAAAATAGTTTATTTTATTGTGGCTGGCCATTATTTATTTTGTTTTACTCCTGTTTGCATATTTTCACTCGATGAAATGTTTTTATACATGTAATTGATCAACTATTTATGCAAATCTGCTTACATATGGTTGAGATTTAATATCCAGTGCTTGAGGATTAAAGCAAAAAGAACGCCTTAAAGTCAAATACATTCTGTAACATTAAATAAAACATTTTTTTCAGCCGTATCTTAAAAAGCTTTCTGAAAAAGTTGATATAAATTGATTTGAATGTTACGCTAAAAGATGGTTAGAAAGAGTAGTAGAGGTTTTAAAATTTATTTGTAATCTTATGTTAAGCTAGAGGTTCCAAATCTTCAAGTAAATTTTAGTAATGTAAAAAAAAAAAAGATAAATAATGTAATTTTGTAATATAAGTATAATATATCCATAGTTTTTAAAATGAAGCTTGTATTTTTTATTCGTAAAAAAGTACTAAAGACTTACAGTTCGCTTAAATAATATCATTAAATCAATTAGAATTAAATTTTTAAAAGATTTATAAAAAAATTTTACGCTTTACTATTTTAAACTGAATCAAAATTCAAAGGAGTTGTTACTGAGGTTAGTAATTAGTATGATAAATTATATTTTAAATTATTTTTATTATTAATATATAAATGATCATTTATGTTTTTTAAAATTATTTTTCATAAATTTTATCATTTTTATTTTATAATAATAGTTATATAAATATATATTTAATACAATTATAGTATTTTTTTAAATAATTTTACTATAATTAATATTAAAGAATTTATTTTTATTTGTACTAACGTTAAATTTTTTCACTATATATTAAATTTTCCATGCTCACGCCCATTCATTCTTTATCGAAATAACGTTTTGAATTCTATAAATAGTTCTGTGTGCTAACTATCTCTGCTCCCTTTAGTTCATATTTTTTGAAATATTCAAGCACCATATAACTGAAAACAGGTACTAAATTGCGATACAAACAAAAATCATATATATACTACACTCTCACGGAAAGTGTGGAAGGAAAACTCCACATCAGTGTGTAGGCTTCACTCCTACACACAAATGTGGACTAAAGTTACACAGTTGTGTTACACAGTTTAATATTCCGCAGAAGTGTGGAATCAATTTTATTTTATAAGAGAACGGCTATTAAATTGCTTGTGGGTTTGCATAACATAATTATTTTTTTTTATGCATTATTGTGACTTTATTCAATTTTTTTTTTTACGCATTATTGAAAAAATATGATTTTTACGCGTTATTACGAATAATTTGGACTTCGAACAAGGAGCAGCAGTTGATTAATGTAAATTTCTTTAAAAATCTTTTTTTTATGCGTTATTGCGTTTTTTTTACGCATTATTGTGTTTTTTTTACGCAATATTGTTAACAATTTTCATTTCATTTAAAGAACTCCAGTGGATTCAAGAAGTTTCATTAAATATTTTGAAGAATATTCAATATTTTCTCTTTACTATAGTTTAAATAGTAATTAATAAGATTTATTTATTTTTATTACTAAATTTAAAAGTGACCGTAAATTTTATTAGTTAACATTTTAAAATCATAAGGTCTAATTACTGTCAAGTAAACTGAAGCAATTAATAGATGCAGATGAAAAAAGAAACAATTATAATTTGTAAATTAAAAAAATATTGGAAATAAATTTTAATAGTTATCTCTAACTAAAAAATCCCTTTATAAATAATATTAATATAGAAATAAAAGACATCTTAAAGATTAAAAAAAAAAAAAAAAACGAATAATGCATATTTAAACTCATCTGGGATTTAAAGAGATTTATACATTTGTAAGAAAAGTTATGTTTGTAAACAAATCAGCAACGGTTGAACTTTTCACAGTACATTTAAGTCCCATGACTTTCTCCAAAAATCCATAAAAAAATCTTAATTCAGTTGGATATTCCACGGCGAAAACATTAAAAGACATAAATAAAAACTCCAATGCCTCCATAAAGCAGCTGCAACAAGGCAGTGTTATAACTGTGTTGTCAACCTTTATATAATATCCATCAGATATGCGCAACAGCATCGGTTGTTTAACCCCGCGATCCTCCAGTGTCTTTAGTGCACAGTCAACTGTGTCATCCTGCATAATGTATAAACATTTTTTTAAATTATCAATTTTACTATCAGATAGAGTAGCAATAACAATAATAAAATAATGATAAAAATATATAAAAAAAAAATAAATATAAAAACTTCTACAAAAATATTAGTTCAAAAATTTCAAAAAAAAAACCCAACAATACCTTGAAGTCAAAGAAAAGATTTTGCATAACCACATTCGGTAGCGAACGAGCCCTTTTAACTGATTTTTGTGGTGGGGTAGGGAGAGGCCAAACAAAACATTCAACCGCAAGTTCACTTTTCTTGTCTAACAATATAAAAGAAAAAAATTTAACTGTATTAAACAGATTTATAACTTGTATAATTAAACAGATATATAACCTAATATGTATATTTAAACTGATATATAACTTATAAGATATATAACAGATATATTAAACAAATATATAACTTATAAGATATATAACAGATATATTAAACAGATATATAACTTAATATGTATATTTGTATACTTAAACAGTTATATAACTTTTGCAAATGAATAATTTAATTTATAATTTATATTTTAATAACAATAAACTACAATTTTTAATTGGACTGTTAAAAGTTCATAATTCACCTTCATCTAACTCGTTCGTTAAGGAAAACATTAGAGTATTCAATGAGGGCTTCAATTTGGCATACTCCAGAATTTTAAATTTGTATTTCTGCCACTCAACATACAATCGTGTTTCTATAAAATTGCAACTTTGGAATTCTTTAAGAATCTAATATAAATATAAATAAATATATATATATATATATATATATATATATATATATATATATATATATATATATATATATATATATATATATATATATATATATATATATATATATATATATATATATTTAGACTGAAGAAGCCTTCAAGTCACAAAAAAAATTTAAATTTTTACAAAATTTACATCACTGCAAATTTCATTAAAAATAGTATTGGGAGCAAACTATATGTTTTAATAAATAAATGTAAAAATTCTGATTCTGGCATGTCTAGTAAACGTGAGTACTGGTTTACAATTTCTGTGATTGATGGGAACGATGTGTTGATCCATGATCGCCGATGATTTCTTGTAATTTCCATTAATTTATTTAACTCTTCTTTGTTTTTGGCATTAGGTCTTTGTTCGCGTAGTAATCGAACAGCACTTTCAACATCATCGCTAGTAATGAGACCTATTCTGCTAGTAGCAAGACTACTGATAAAAGGTAAGGGATAAAAATATTTATTGAAATTTAAAAAAAGGGCTAACACTTATAATAATCGCTTATCATCATCATGATCATTATCATCAATTATTAAAAGAACATTTTAGATCTAATATTTACCTATTTTATGGTGAATGTTTCCACAATGTAGTTATATCTTTACAATCTGAACGCCGGCTTCGAACAAAGTATTCCAACTTTCCACTAAATGATTTTCTATCAAAGAAGTATCCCTAAAGATGACAAAAAAAATAAATAATAATAACACTCTGAGTTTAAAATTTAATCAATTAATTAACTTAATTGATTAAATATATTACTCACATAACCACTTGCTGTTCCATCGTGTAAGATAGGAAAACAGTCAATAATTGACTTTGATAAGTCCTGCTTCTCAGTAGCATTTGGCCTATCTTTTCTGAAATATAGAAATATAAAAATTATTTTAACTAATTAAAATCCTATCAAATTTTTTATTTTATTTATACTTACTAAGCACAATTGTTCATCAGGTAACGCTCACAAACTTTTGTTAGAAATAACATTTCTGCTTTTTCAATCCGCTCTCCTGACTTTAACTTTTGTGTCAATCGTTGACCACAAATAGGTCCATGCTGCTGCCTCTGCTCTGATATAATATTATCAACTCGCAGATTCTGATAAAATTAATGGAAATATGCAACTAACATAATTTCATATTATTTTATTTTAGCATTTACATGCTATACAAAATATACACTTCAACATTATTACTTTTATTATTATTATGATTATTTTTTATTGTGACTCTTTTTTATTATGTCTATTTTATTTACTCCATGTATGCCATTTCAGCAATCATTAGTTAATTGTTTGAAAACTAACCTTGAAACTGATTACACTAGTAGTGGTGCAGCTATTTATTCTGGATGAAACAATAACTGACTCACCAATACTCAATAAAGACTGTGGGGTAACATATTAGTAACATACCAGCTGGAACATTAACAACCGGTTGAGCCCTAATCCATTCCTGCAGTAACCTTCTTTCTGCCATCCTAAATCCTAATTTGACAAGGTCCTCTTCTGTAGCTAATACAAATGACCCTAGTGTAAAACCAGATTCTAAAATAAAACAATGTAAAAAATAAGTAGTTCTTTATATGTGTATTGATGTGAAAGAAAAAGTTTCAGACATATATTTGGGTAAATCATTATTTTAGGCCTGTGTATTTGAAGAGAAAGTGAATATCTTTTGGGATACATATACTAAAATACATACTAAAAGAGAGAAAACCTTACCTTAAATAAAGCATGTTGAATATCCTCAGGGAGAACAGATAATTCCAATACAGTGGCGACTGTGTTGATTAGACTCAATGGTTTAAAAATATATCAGCTAAACATAATCAAATCAATCAAATTACTATATTTCCAAATTTAACAATAACAATATATAGAATCATTAGAGACATTTAAAAACAATTATAAACTGATGACCTGTACTAAACATAAAAAAATAATAACTTCTTTGTCTGAGGTGGCCTAGTACTTAGGTAGGTGAATACCAGTTGTACAGTTGTTAAAAAACACTTTTTTTAAACAACTGTAAAACTTTGTAGAAACCTTTTCTCTACATTTTGTAAAAACCTTTTTTCTATAAAATTTTTATATTTTCTATAAAGAAAACATTTTAGATTAAACTTTAAAAATTATGTTATACAAAATGCTAAATAACAAAATAATTAGAAAAAACATTGCTATTGATCTATATAAAGCAACTAAAGTTTACACTATTTACAAAAGAAATTACTAATTAAAAAACATGATAGGGCAATCGAACAAAGTTCCTTTTTTCAGTAGTCGCAAGCAAGCTATGACAATAAAGTGGATGAAAATCAACAAAATTAGAAAGCTTGAAAATCTGATACTCTGGTTGGCAAAGAAACATTACTTCATAAGAATGAAGGTGATAAGTAAAATTGTTTGTTTTCACAATTTCTAAAACAAAATGCCACTTCTCTCCTTTGTACACATCAACTTGATTGTTATTTGCACTTGAAATGAAGCATACAACTTTTCCAAAGTTTGACAAGTCAGTCTCCATATCTATATTAATTGCAATAAAATGTCCTAGTTTGTATTCAACACTTCCTGCATGCAATGTTTTTGCAATAGCAATTTCTTCACATGACTTAAAACACTGAATATTTTGCATAGCGTTATAAAAAGGAAGAGAATAAGTAGACTTAATACTATATTTTACCACTGTGACAATTTTGCGAATATGTTTGTTTGAGAGTTGTGACTCCAAAGCCTGTTGCTGATGTCTATGTGCTAGAGTGTGACAAATATTGGTAAAGTTGCATACAATATGGGCACACCTTTTAAAAAATGAATTTTTCAGTTCGTATGGCATACAACTCATGCCAATAAGTGGACCAGACTTAGTTATAATATTGGGCAAATGTACAAGAAAATGATGCTTTGGACGTAACCTTACTTCATCGCTGCAGTATAACCTGCTAAACATAGATAAATGGTCACTAATAACATGTTTCATATAAACTACAATTTCATGTGTAAAACATGGTGCAAAAACAAATCAATTAAATGAGACAAGTGAAGCAGAAATTTCCATTTTTTATTCTTTTTTATAATTTTTCCTACAGCCATTGGTAAATACTTGAGCAGAGCCCACCATTGTACTGCTCTCATAGAGGGTGTAAGTACATGCCCTGGTTCTTGTATTTTAAAAATTTCTGCAGGTTTATGAGTTTTTTCAATAGTTATTTTTCCCCATAATAAAGAAATAGCTTTATTTATATCTGATAGAGTTAGGCACTTATCTAATATGCACAAACCATGAAGGATACACCCTAACAGTGTGCATAATATCTAAACACCAATTATCTGTCACATGAAAACCTTTTATTTTATTGAGTGGGCATTCAGTCTTTACACCTCTGTAGTGATTTTTCAATTGATTAGAATTGTTCTTATTGCTTGTCCTACTTGCTACTAAATTAATCAGATCTGTTTTGTAGCTATGCACAGCACGCTTCTGAAACAGATCATCTTCAAATTTAATTTGAATGTCTTCTTTTGTTGCATAGCAAATTGTACAAAAATGACTGCCAGAAAAAGACTTAACAGATCCAAGCAAGCCATTGAGAGCCAAGTTATCACAAGTAACTTGACAAAGACTTGCATAAATTGTACAAGTACCTAAAACTGGAAATACTCCTTGTAATCCAATAGTGCTTAACTCCTGTATTTCATTAACAAATTTGCTTAAAATTGGCCCATGACCATAAACTGCAATATCATGAGTGTAACCAATGGCTAACAAGTGCACATTGCCAAAACAAGAGTTAAATGCGTGTGGAAGATTTTTTATAGTGTAATAAAAAACTCCAATGTTATGAACAGAGCCTTGACTTCTCAACGGATTAATTACACCTAAACCATCATAAAACAATTGGATCATAAGGGAAATTTTGGAGACATCACTAAAGAGGTAATGCTCTTTGAAACGACTTCCATCTAAAAAATCAGTCAAGACACCAGGTTAACATTTTTTCTCCAGAAACGCTTTTACATAAGCCTCATTCTGTAACAAATTAAATATAGTTTTTTTGATAGAAACATATTGGAACTGATCATATACAAATTTGCTATGCCCACAATGAGACTCTAATCGTGGCATATAGCAGATACTTTCAGGTTGAACCATAATAGGATGCCCTGCAAAATAAGAGCCAATGCGATAACGTGTTGATAAAAAATCAAGAGGATTATTGCATAGCTCTAATTTGGGTTGCATCTCTTGTGAAATTTGGTTAATAACTGCACGATCAATACCAGCTAATAATAAACTTTTATTAAATTCTTCTTTAAAATAAGATGATAGTGATCCAGCCATATTATTATATGACTGGACTATTGTAGGTATTATACCATAAGGTATACTGCTATTTGCACGAAGTTGTGTTACAAGTGATGCTCCTTCATCTTTAACATCCTGCAAAAAATCTAAACTATTTACAGACGAAACCACATCTAGATTAGGAGATGAATCTTTTAATTGGTTAATACAAGGGGCAAAATTGTCACATAGAAACAAATTTTCTGGATTTTCTTCTATAAATGCAGCTACTTCACTGACTCTCTCTCTGTGTTTATTTGGTGGCGAGTATTTAAATGTCTAATAAAATTAAACAAAACTGAAAACGAACTTATGCACTTATCTTGACGACAACATTTTGGTATAGATAATTGTTGGTTATCTTTATGTCGCTGTAAATGAACCCTTAACTCAGAAATACTATTATAACCTTTATTGCAAAGATAACATAAAAACATTCTTAAAATATGCTAATTTCTTAAAAATAATTAAAACTTTTTAAACTCTATAAATGCTCGTGATGGCGGCTTAATTTATATCACGCGTTTCAGGCACATTATTTTACTCCACACTAATGTGCAATCTTTTAATTTTTATAGAATTTTCACTCAAATCAATTTTTCTGAAATAGTAACTCCACAAAATTGTGCAAATTACTACACTTTCTCTACACTTAGTGTGGAGTTTTATGTCCACACTTTCCGCGAGAGTGTAGGGTGGTTCAAGGCCAGTCCAAATTTTTATAGTAGTTCGACTGAACTACATATTTCCTTTAAAACAAACTGTTTTTCAAAAATTGTTGGTTGAACTGAATAATACCTAGCGAAAGTTGTCCCAAATAAAAAAAGTTTATATTGACGACAGTAAGGGAGTTGACGTAAATTGGCTTTTAACTAAAAGAAAAATATTTTAAAAAGTAGTAGTCAACAGGGGCGGATCTAGCATTTTAAATGGGTGATGCGAAATTTTTTTATTGACGTTTCCCCCCCCCCTCCCCGCAACTTCTCTATTTGCCTATGTTATAATGTTGCCTTGGCTATTTTGTTCATAAATTAGACATGTAATTTTAAGTCTAATTTACTTAACAAAGTGCACCAACGAGAAGGTAAGCCATAGGACTTTGCACTTCATCTGTATACTGTCATTTTGCCCAAGGTTAGCCCTTCATTTCTGGATTCTTTCCTTTACTTGAGAGGCACGTAGTGTAAAGTAATGTTGCCTAAGGTAAGGCCTCCATTTCTGGATTCTTTCCTTTTCTTGATAGGCACGTCATGTAAAGTATTATTAGGCTATTTATTAAGGTTAAGTAATTTTCTTTAAGTAGGTTAAGTAGGATTCTTTCCTTTTCTTGATAGGCACGTCATGTAAAGTAATGTTGCCTAAGGTAAGGCCTCCATTTCTGGATTCTTTCCTTTTCTTGATAGGCACGTCATGTAAAGTATTATTAGGCTATTTATTAAGGTTAAGTAATATTAGGTTAAGTAACTAGAAATATAATAATAAAGGTTAGTCCTCCATTTCTGGATTTTATCTTTATTTTATATTATATTATTAATCTTATATTATATTATTAATCTTGCCTAAGGTTAGCCCTCCATATCTGGATTCTTTTTTTTTTTTTTAAACTGTTTTTTGTTATAATAATTTTTGTTATATTTTTTTATTTAAGTTCTATATTTTAAATATATATATATATATATATATATAAATATATATATATATATATATATATATATATATATATATATATATATATATATATATATATATATATATATATATACACACACACATAATATATTTATATTATATATATAATATATATAATTAATATACATAATTAATTTTATATTACATATATCATTAATATACATATAATATATATATATATATATATATATATATATATATATATATATATATATATATATATATATATATATATATACATACACACACACACACACACACACACACACACACACACACACACACACACACAATATTAGTAAAAATCAAATTAGAAAAAAGTAAAATAAAAGTTAGTACACTACTAAATAAAAGCTAAGTCTAAACCTCTTTCACCTGACTTTGAAAAAATGTCAATAACTCTTTCAACATCTGGAAAATGTTGAAAGAGTTTCGCTTTAACTCTTAACTAAAGAGTTAAAGCGAGACTCAATCATATTACTTCTGGAGTATGTTTTTAGCCTACTTATAACTGAAATACTTCTTTCACATTCACAAGTTGTTATTGGAATTGTTTCTAAAATTATAAATGCTGTCCTTATATTTAGAAAACCTCTCATGTCAATGGACTTTAAAGTACCAGCAACAGTTGAAGGAATACTTGACTGGTTTATCCAAAATAATTCCCGTAAATATAACTCAGCATGTATTGAAGTAAAATGAGGCATATCAGATGAATAGAAATTTAAAAATTCATAAAAATCAGATTTCCATGGTTTTTTTAAGTTGTATTCTGGATAGTACAGTTGAAGGAACTGCTGCTAGACCTTTATACCTATTATCTAGCTCATTAATAAGATGTTCAATTAATGGAGAAGTAATGCTATGTTTAAAATAGTCACAAACTGTATTTGTTGGATAATTATCCCGGTAAACCTGGACATTACACAATCTAGGTCTCACTTCTTGTATATCAAGAGTTTTGGCCAAACTAAGAGCGATAGCAAACCATTCAGTGTGATATATATCAATTTTATTTTTAATTTCTAATAACAGATTTTTTAGATTAGTTATTTCAAAACACTGCTTGGATATGTCAAAAGATTTAGTTTGAAGAGTTACAGTAATTGCATAAAAAAAATCCATTAATTGTTTTGTAATAACTAAACTTACAATGAAAGAGAAATCTGTTAATAATCTTAAAAAAGAAGAGGATTTGGAAGCAGTTTCACTGTTATATTCCTTTGACTCATTTAACCCCATCTCCTCTAAAGCATGAATAAAAATTATCAAAAAAAACATCAACACCTCTCAGCTTTTGAACCCATCTTGTTCGACAAGTATCTTTTATTTTTTCTTGATTTGGACTTAAATATTTTTTGAGACAGTTACTACGTTTATGAGATAAGTTAAAAAAATAAGAAATTTCTTTTACTTGGCCAAGAAGATTTTTTACTTTTTGAACTTGGCATGCAGCTGCTACTACTAAACTAAGTCTATGGCTTGCACAATGAAAAAATATAGCTTCACGATAAGAGCTTTTATTTGAGAAGCAACTCCTTTATACTCACCTGCCATACAACCTGCACTGTCATACCCTTGGCCTCTACAATTTTGAATATCAAGTCCAAACTCTTGAAGTGCATTAAGTACATTTAGAGATAGACTAAGACCAGATGTACCAGTCTTGCAATCAATAAATCTTAAGAAATCCTCGCAAATCTCATTATTTGAATTTACATATCTTAAAACAAGTGACATTTGTTCAGTATTTGAACAGTCAACTGCTTCATCACAAAGAATTGAAAAAAAAATTGAATGCTTGACATTTTTTATTAAAACTTCCTCAATTGCTTTCCCACAAGAATCAATAAGTTGGTTTTGGGTAGTTTTTGATATATAGGTTGCATTTTTTGGACTTGAAAAAAGATGATTAGCTAATACTTGATCACCAGCATCAACACGAAAATTTAAAAGCTCTATGAAGTTACCGACTCCAACTTTTTGTGTAGAAGATTCCCCAATATCAGGATGATATTTGCTATCATCACGATGTCCACGAAATGCTTGATCGTTTCTACCAAGAAATATTATTGTTTTAATTATTGGAACTAATTTTTTTCGGTTATCAGAAAGAAGTTACAAACAAGAATTATTTAAATCAACCTCAATAACATTACTTTTGGAATTGCAACTTGAAAGCAATGCATTAAATGAAAGCATAGATTTTTCATGTAAAACACAATTTTCCTCATGTTTTCTATAATCACGAACAGCATTACCCCACTCTTGATGGGGCTTGAAAACTAAATTTAATATTCCAGACTTATTTTGAATACTAGCACCTAGCAAAGTACAAGGAAGACAGTAAGCTTCATCTTCTTTGCTAAAATAAGCTAACCAAGAAAACTGGCTGAGCCATTCAAATTTAAATGATCTTTTTGTATTAAAAGATATTGGATAGAATTAGGACAAAATACTTTGTTTACCATACAAAATAGAGTCATCTTTGCCAGCAATTAAAAGTTTACCTTGAACAAGATATGTTGAAACATCATACAAAGAATTTAATTCATTATATGAAGGAATAATAACTGAGTTGGAGTCTAATGACTTAACTATTTTTGAATCTACAGAAGGTTCAAAAGGCAACTCTATGAAAGCATTTTTTTTTTTAAAGTTAATTTTAGATTGAATTTTGACATGTTTTGCAGAATCAAGTTTTTTTTTTTTATTTGTTTCAGTTTTAGGACTAAAAAAGTTTAAAGGATAAGTAGCATCGTTTTTTATAGCCAAATTCTTATTATTACTAGAAATTAGTTTAGGCTTTTTAATAATTGGTACAAAATGGTTCGGTGTCCAGTTATTATTATTTTGCATCACTGACATAATATCAGTATTACACCATAAAATATTTAAAACATTTTGATCTTGATTTTTAATTGAACGAAATGGAAAAATAATTGTATTAAAAAGTTTTTTGAACTTTTCTAAGCCAAAATCTGGATAAATTGATCTAATAGGAATATAAAATACCATTAACTTTAATAATAGGGTTTTACCTTAAAGCAACATAATCTTTAGTATCTTCTTGCTTTGGGATAAAACGATCCATTTCAGTATTTTCAGATACTGACTATGTGGCTGAACTGGACTCTTATTATTTAAAACTTTTAATTCTTCAGTCAACTGGTTTTTATATTTCCGAATATTTGGCAAATGTCTAGCCTTAATTGCATTTGAGACTAAAAAATTCATTTTTTTTTTTAACTTTAGTTTACAAGCAAAGTCCAACGACGAAAATTACGAGTGAAGAACGTTTATCAGGTGGCATATCAGAATTTTGTAAAATTTGAACGATTTGGAGCAACTGATGCAATTGTTCTAAACTTTCTACAAATTTGATTGGTTATAAATAACATTTCTTATATTTTTTGTAAAGTTTTTTGCGGAAGTTTTGTAGCAACTGATGCAATTGTTATTTTATTAAATAGTGATTGGTTTAAACTGTTTTTTAACCAATCATTAATGATTTAGAGTACAATTGCATCAGTTGCTACAAAGTGATCGGAAAAATTTGTGAAAAAGTACAAATATGATTGGTTAAAACGTAATTTTTTTTTTTAAACCAATAACATTTGTATTTAATGAAGAACAATTGCATCAGTTGCTCCAAAACGCAGGAATTTTGTATAAGTAACGAAAAAGTAACTATAGAGATAAAATAAAATCGAGTTTAAATGAATTTTTTTCGAGTTTAAAACAAGTATTTTATTTTTTGTGAATGCCAGATTCCAATTTCTACTTTTACTTTTTATTAAGAAAAAAAAGTGAAAAAGAGATACACTTAAATTTAGCGTTGAAAAAAGACTGATGCATGCGCATCATTCGCGACACCCTGGATCCGCCCCTGGTCAAAATTATTAAGCACAACTTTTCTAGTAATCTACAACTTAATAAGCCTCGATATTGTATTCTATCATTACTCCAAAAAATGATTTAGATGATCAGCTAGAAAATTCGACAATATGTCATTTCTTTAAACGACGAACTCTTACCCAGTGGGCATTTCGACGTCGAACGAACGTCGAGCGACGTCGGATCTCGACGTCGGATCGACGTTGGGTTTACGTTGGAAATGGAAATGTTATTTGACGTCGGATAAACTGACATCGCGCGACGTCGGCATTCCGATGTAAATCCAACGTGTTTTTTGAAAACTAAAAAACGCTGCCTTTTGCAGGAATCGAACTTCGGCCTATTAGTTACTAAATCCTATGCGCTTACCACTACACCACAAGGACTTATTAATTTTGAGTTTATTTAGTAATTTATACTTGTAGCTATTTGGGAATTATTACTTTGATAAGAAATAGTTTTGTTTAAATATTATATAAATATTAAAACGAATAGTTATATATTATAAAAAATGTATACTCGAAAATGTTAATAGTTAAAAAACTATGCTAGTGCATCATACAAAACCTCATGATGTTTTATCAACCTTTATTCAAACTTTTTTCCATTAATAAAAAAACACGCTTAGTTCACATAATTATTGAAGAGCGCAATTGCACACATATTGTTGGGTTTGGATTAAATTTTCATCAGCGATGTCTTACGACGTTGTTCCGACGTCGTTTTAAGGACGTTGGATTGACGTCGGAAGACGTCAAAAGACATCGGAGTACGTTAATATTATGACGTTGCCCGACGTCTTTTTATCGACGTTGGATCGATGTCAGTACTGCGACGTTTTTTAGACGTCTTTTATAAGATGTCGGAACAACGTCAAAATACATCGAAACGACGTCAGGGGATGTTGAGATAAAGACATCGCCCGACGTCATTTTACTGACATCGGAACAACGTCGGAATAGGTCTTTTGACATCGCTGATGAAAATCAAACGTAAATCCGACGTCGGATTGACGTCGGGTGCCCACTGGGTAAGTGTCGAGTGTTCGGTAATACTTAATTTGCGATTTTGTTTTTCAAGACTTTTTGATGGCCGCGAAAGCACTAACATTTAAGTCGAGTGGAATAATATTCTTAATAAACAAAATAAAACCTGACGATGTGTTTTTATTTGCACAGACATACAGATAAAAATAAAATATATTGAAGTTGGAGGAAAACAATTATTTGTTTATAACAAGAATTGAAGTATTTGGAGTAAAGAAATGATTAAGATTGAATTAAATAACTTAAAAAAGGAATAAATCAACAGAAAATATTTAAAATAGGATCGTTCGCATGTAAAAAAGTATTCATATTTTTGACAAATTTTTGAACTAATTCTTCTGCAAGTAAAAGATAGAGATTTAATAAAATATTGTGAGAGACCTTTTTTAGTAAAATATAGTTGTAATATGGAGTTGTTGTAAAATATGTAGTAAAATGGAGTTGTTGTTGATCTACAACTATATATTCATTATACTTAAAGCAATGAATTTTTTGAATAATATATTATTCAAAAAATTCATTGATTTAAGTATAAATTCATTGATTAAGTATAAGTTGTAGATCAACAACAGCTCCATTATTAGTTGAATTAACAAATAGTTCTTATAAGCTTACATCATTAAAAGCAGCTGAACAGTTTAAAGATACTGGGAATTGTAGTTTATAATAAAGATACTGGGAATTATAAGTTTATATAAACACTTATAAAATGATTTGGAAAAACAATCGTAATTGGTTTTGTAAAACAAAAAAATAATTGGTTTTGAAAATAAATAGAAGTTTACTTAAAAGGGGAATTAGTTTTCACTTAACAATGAACTTTCACTTAACGATGAATCGCACAATCCTTTGGTTATGAAATTATCTATCCAGTCAGTACACTCCATTAGAAAAAGAACTTTGGAGTGATTGGACCATTGTTCCGATTTGCACCAAAATTAGTGTGCTGCTTTGGTAGATTATTTGAGTCATAATTTCATTTTAAAAAATGCCATTAGATTATAATGATAAATCATAGTTATTGTAATAAATTATTTTATTATTATCAAAATAATAATAAAATAATATCATTTATTTGTTAATAATAATAATGATTCAACCAATCAATAGTTTTTGTTATAAATTGTTATTTAGTAATTGTTAAGATTAGAGTTGGATCTTTCTGCATCTACTTATATTGTTAATTAAGTTTCCGTTATGCAATAATTTTTTAATTTTAATAAGTTTTTCATATTAAAATTTTAATTTTAATAAGTTTTTCATATTAAAATTTGGTTTGCTATTTTTTATTTGTTAGTTTCTACTCCTGATTCAAGTTCTTAACTTTTGAAGAAAAAGATCGCTTTTTTTTCAGATAGATTACTTAAAAGCAATGTTTGATATAAACTTTAAAGCATTAGCAAAATAAAAATTAAGATACTAAATCAGTGTTGAATAAAAAATTGAATCTACAAAATCTAATAGACACCATAACAAATCCCGGCTTTAAATAGACCTTTCGGGGTGGTGACTCCTTATTCATTTTTACCTTTATTCCGCAATACAATATTGTATTAAAGTTATTAAAAACATGAATATAACAGTGTTAGGGTAAGGGTTATTTACACTGATTAGTATAACCAAATAACATAATATCGATCACTCATTTTTTACAGATAAAGTAATAAATCAAGAAATGAATTATGGTATGAGTTTATCATATTATATGCTGACCCTAACCTTAACACAAATTTATAATCTTCATAATGTTATGAATTTAAGATATTTATATTTCAGCGTTTTGAAATTCTTCCGCGAGACATGAACAATAAAAAAGCACGTCACTCGCATATAAACGTAAGACTAACCTTAAACCACATGAGTAAAATAGAGCAAAACAAAATCTCTATTAATTTGTTTTCTTTTATAACTACCAACTATTTTTTTTTTTAACTGATTTTTACTTTTATAGTATATATTGTTGTTTAATATATAAATATCTAGATTTTAAATATTTATTATTTATAAAAAATTGGCTTAAAACTTTTTTCCCTATTATATGTGGGACTTTTGCTCTAAAAGCCCTATAATAAATCCGGTACTGAACAGATATTTTAGCGTACAAGAAACAACTTTGTAGGTTTTAAATAGTTTTTTTTGTTTTTAGTTTACAATCTTAGTCGTGATACAATCAAATAAGCTATTAGATTTTACATTCAACCTACTATATCAGTTTATTCCTTGATATAAGTTATGGAAATACAGTTATGCCTACTGCTCTGTCTTATATTGATGATAACTTTAGAAAAAATAAATATATAAAGCGTGATAACTAGGGCATAACGAATCTGGCAAAACATTTAGGATCCGGATCCAGATCCTATTCGGATTTCATATATATATATATATATATATATATATATATATATATATATATATATATATATATATATATATATATATATATATATATATATATATATATATATATATATATATATATATTTGTATACAGAAAATACAAAATTATGCTAAGATCTTGGGATGATGTTTACATATGATAAGTTCTACGAAAATACATGTACTATAAAACCATCATTTAAAGTAATGTATCTAAAAATCACTTTAGTATTTAAATAAATACTTCATTAGTATTTATTCTATAAGAAATATACATACAAAAATACAAAGAACATTCAAGCCTTACACCTGCAACTTAAATTTATTATACTATATATTAAATGACTAAATACTTTACAAACTAAAAATGCATCAAATTTTCATTTCTGGAAGTTATTCTGATACAGTGAAGCACTTGAATTTTGAGAAAAATATGAAATATAAATACAGAATGATTTAACAACAATAGACAAAACAAACAACACCTTTAAAGCCTTCACTTTTTATTTATTTGTCGGAAATTACCATTTTTATTTTTAATCCATACTATAGAGCATCACTTGATTCAGTAATCTTAATCCATACTATAGAGCATCACTTGACTGTAAATATTATGACATTCTTAAACTTAATAAAGTTCTTAATAATAATTGTAATTTATACCTACATCTAAACATTGCTTCGCTCCCTTATCACATTGACATTCTTCACAGTCTAATAAGCTCTCTTACCACTCTTCCAATAGTAATTGGTATCTCTGAATCAAGACTAAATATCAACGATTCCATTAAAACTAATGTTAATATAAATGGTTTTACTAATGAACATTGTCCTACTGAGGCCAAAAAAGGTGGTGCTCTTCTATATTTACGCTCAAACTTAAACTATTTTATTCGTAGTGATCTAATAGTATACTCTCCGAAATACCTTGAATCTATCTTTGTTGAAATCGTCAATCCCCTAAAACAAAATATTATTGTTGGCACTATATATTGACATCCATCAACGAACTCTAATGAATTCATTACTGATCATTTTAATCCCTTGCTTGAGAGGCTTAGTTTAGAAAATAAACAAGTTGTCCTTA